AGTCACAAAGTGGCATTGTGTAGCTCACACAGATTTTCAGAAGTCATCAGAAAAGAGACCCTTCAGACATGCATTTTATACACTGTACAGTATATGCTGTAAATACATATTATTTTTAAGAGACATTTGCACTGCAATGACATATTTTTATGCCTGAATAAACAGTTGCATATAGATTAGAGTATATCTCTTCAACTATTTTACTTGCAGCAAAATGTCAGCACACAGCATTTAAAGTGAAATAATATATTATTATAAGGCATAAATCATATAATTTCATGGGTTAGAAGCATAAAAGCACAATTTAAATTAATTTAATTCCAAGCTTATAACCTATTTATTTATCCCAAATCAATGATATTTTAGAATACAAATCACATTGGGAGGATACTTTTCAAGTCACCAAAATCTAGTAAAAACCTTTAGAGTGTTCTTTTTTCAAATCCCTGATGTTTTACAAACTATCTTGGGTGAGGCACTAATCTTGTACCTCTGAGCAAGGTGCTTCCCTCAGATCACAACAGTAAAATATTAATTTATTCAGATGGATCAATGGGTACAAATGTGCATCACTTTGGATAAAAGCTTCAACAAAATAAACTAATAATGGCATTTTCAGAAAGTGTCTTCTAAACTAACTTGAGGGCACTGGCCTAGTTTCTTTTAAAGATATCACTAGTGATAAATGTGAGAGATGGTGCAAAATACCTCCTTCCTCCAATTTATCATCTATTGCGCTTCTGCAGAGATACTGATAACTGGTGATAAGGCCAAATCAAATGGAGCATGAATGTGAAATATCACCAGTTCTACTTGTCAGAAGTCTATTTTGATCAGTTTAGAAAAAAAGGGGAAAGAGAAGAATAGCAATGAATGCTATAGAAGACTTCCATAGTCATCTATGTACATCCAATATTTAAACTACACTCTCCAAGGCCTGGTCTAAAATTTTAAAGGGCTTATGTCACAGATCATGATTAGCTATACATGCTCCTAGACTGTTTTATACAGAATAGTCCAAGAGCAGGTCTAATCGGGGTCTTTGCAACCACGAGTAAGTTTAAAATCGGACTGGAAACTTTAACTGGTTTTGTTCAAAAAAGGTTTTCATTTGAAATTGTCCTCAAGCTGTGATGCTGCAAGACCTGTAGGGAATGGTGCTTGTTTGTCCCCGTCAGTGGGGGGGTCAGTGAGCTGTGCAGTGCAGGAGCAGGGTCTCCAGCCAGGTGGAAAGGCGGATGAGTTAGACCAGCGGCTTCCAGGCCACCACTCTGTGCCTTTGCTACAGCATTCTCGGTTCCAGCATTACGCCACCAACCCAGCCGAAGGACATGAAAAGTTCAGAAACGCATATATGAATTTTAATTATTGCACAATTCTAATATGTAATTACGGCTATTAGCAATAATAGGTCAGGTTTTACCCAGAGGGCAGCAGCAACATGAAGATTTAACATCTCAGTGTAATTGACAGGTAGTGAACGTGTCTGAATTTGAGACCATGTGACTCAAGCATGCTGATCTCCTTTGGTTCAAAGCCCTGTTCATTATAAAGTGGATTAAAATGCATTCTTGCTCTACAAGCCCATAATGTGCTGGCCAGACCTTCAGGCATCTTGGAATTTGAAAATGTAATTTGAATTGCCCTTTTGAGTGTTCATCTGCATCTTTCCTAACACTTCTTTGCCAATAGAAATAGCAGGCTTTATTTGTGATTGTCAAAATGACAAACAGACCTGATTCATAGCATATTAAAACAAGGATTTTAGACATTATTAAAATTGCCATGAAAGCAATGCCTTTCTAACAGTAGCCTAACATTCTTTCTTGATACAGGATAAGAAAAACAGCTGAAGCTTCAAAGAAAGAAAGCTGTCAAAGAAAGTGAAATGACATTGTATTGCATACTATAATCCATCTCTATCTATGATTAAAGTTCACCTTAATTCAAAGGTGCTTCTCATTTTATGTGTTTCCTGTCCTATATTATGCAGAAGAATGTGGTTCAGCAATCCCTCATTATTTTTCTAACCTTTTATTCCAGATTGAGGACTTGTTTTTAGACTTGTTTTTATAGAGTATCTAGTTAAGTAGCTTTGTGTCTTACTCAGTTACCTAAATCCCTTTGTGTGCTTTTCCAAAAACTTTTTTTAAAACAGCAGAAAATTGAGTTGAACTTAGACCCTAACCTTAGTAAAAGTCATTCATTAAACTTTAGAGATTAGCATAATTGTAAAAACTATAGTTCATAGCATTATCAGAAACTGTAATTATGTGTGCTTCTGTCTTTGGCAAAACATAATTCTTGGTTCCTCTTCCTACCTGTGTGTATTGAATAAAAATAAGCAGAATTTGCATTTTTGCAAAGACCAAAATGCAAATTCTACACTAATAATGGACAAACTGATCTCGTAACTGTATATTTTCTTCTGATTATGAAGCTTTCTTTCCATACCTGGGTATTTTCCCTTATTTTTCTGTCTGTATTATACAGTTTTGTGCTTATGTTGGATTTGTTACACTTTAAATATTATTTTTTACAGTATATTTATTTTAGGTGGCTGACATTTATTCATATGAAATTATCCTAATAGTGGATAATAGTGGAATTACTGGTTCTCACAAATGTGGCAGATAAAAATAGGTCTACAGGGTGAATATCCCTTATGTATTTGGTATTTAGCTCAGTCTTTCTAAGCCTTTACTTAGAGCATAGGGAATCCATTTTTCTCCATATCTTTGCAGCAGCAGTTCAGTCTTCCTGCTCATATTAAGCATGCTCTTGGATGCTGTCTCGAAGCTCTTTACAGGCAATGATTGTCCAGATCATCTCTTGCTGTCTGATCCCTTGGCAGCAGAGACCATGCCATTAACAGGAGGAACACAGCATGTGTGACTCCAGACAGCTTTTCATTGCTTCATTGGGTTCTTGCGCTATCAACAACAGTAACTTACCAACATCGCCCCACTACAGAGAAAGCTTGTCTTGTATTTATGGAAACTGAATGCCTTTGGCAGGAGGGAATAATGTAATGATGCTTCCATTTCAAAAGACTACATTGCGGCCAAGTTTTTCTGTAAATTACTATTCTGTAAGGTTTAGTGAACTTTCAGAGCCTCCATACCAATCCATCGGGCAGTTTTGCTACAACAAGCTTCTACATTATTGAATTGACAATAAGAAGGGTCAACGTATGATACCTACAAGGGTGCTGTTAACATAAAAGTAGTGCTTTGATGCGCATTTGAAGAGCCACAAGTTGAGCAGACTTGCCATCCATAACAGATAATCACAGCATATTTTAACAGTAAAATACATTTGATTCTTTGGAGATTCATTTTTAACAAATCTTCTGCTATATATTTTATGTTAACATCTACTCCATAATTTCTGATGACCTCTACAGCAACGTCTTACTTCGTGCAGAGGATGTGTTCCAGAAGAAGGGAGTGGAACTCAGCATTAACAGAGGCAATTCTAGCCTGGGCTCAATGCAGATGTGTTCCTAGGAGCTCTGTTACTTACTGTATATACAGTAGATATATATGTATTCTTATATACTGTATGTATGAGTAACATGTCAGGGCTTCATTGGGTATCAGTAATGGCATTGCAGGATATAATAATTACACTTTATACTAAAAGGAGTTTATATTAAAATCTACTATAGAAATCCTGAAAATGTGGCTCTGTCCCAATCCCTTCAGTGGGAGCTGGAGTAGGTTAACCACCCTCACTGCCTTCTCTCCCCCAGCCTGGCAGCAGCAGGAGACCTATGGGTGGAACCACTCCTGCCAGTCTGGCGGGCTTGAGTCTTCTTTCTTCACTCTCATTGGCTGACAGCTGGAGGAGCTTTTTTTTACTGTTTCTTGCCTTTAGCACAAATAGTAGCAGGAAGCACAACTCCAGCCTGCGCTAAGTGTGCTCTAGGTACTTCCTCCTGGCCTGTGTGTGTATCACAGACAGACAGACATTCTGCGTTTTTGCAGGTGGAGTACTTAAGAAAATGGTCAGGCCAAAGATCGCTAAGCAGAATCAGCTCTAATAGGAACAGTGCTTAACAAGGCAGTATGAGATTCTCTGAATCACGTTACATAATTTTAATCATTTTTCAATCCCAATAATTGTATTATTTTGTTCAGAAGGACATGGCGGTGACGCACGTTTTTGTTGTCATCATCATTATCAGTTTTTTTAGGCTTAACTATTAGCCATAACGTTTTTTTTCAATTATTTCATCACCTACCTGCCACGTTTGTGCACGCCCACACAGCCATGTGACTGAAATACAGACACAGCCCCCACTGGCCATTCATCTTCCTTATCTCTTGCTGTTTTATTTAATGGCATTGATCTGGTCCACTTTCACTGCATTATTTAGATCAATGAGGCAGATTCTTAGCAGCAAAACGAGGAGATTGATGGACGATGAATTGTTTTCATTAAGAGGACAAGTTTATCTGAGGTCTTTAATGTATTAGATTATTCAAGTCCCTGTTAGCACCGTGCAGGTGGCAGAATAAGGAAAAGTAAGGGAAAACGTTTCTGGTTGAAATAAATGGTCAAGTTCATTTTTGCAGTTATCACTGTATATACTGTATATTACCAAACACATAAAGGCATACGCAGATAAAACAATTAGGCTCATTATGAAGAATTTTTAGTTATGCATTTTTAAAAAGGCTTATAAGAAAAAACCTACATTTTTGTTGTGCAGCTGAAAAAAACAACACAAGTTTTATTGCTTGCTTTAATGAAACCTTCATAGTTTCATATTAACACAGGGAGAGGTGTCTGGAAATAATGGTTCACACAATTTGTTGCTTAATTATATTTTGCACTTTAGATAATTAATGGGGCATTTCATACTAGCCATGCATATTAAAACCCTTGAGTTTTGAACACTTTTTTAATCACAGTATCCATTATGAAAACGTTGGGGTGGAGAGGTGCAGAGAGAATGTTAGTGCATTGATCTAGATATTCTTGTGTTTTCCTAGGAGCAAGGCAAGATTGGTGTCACGTTTAACATTGGAACAGTGGACATCAGCATCCAAGAAACGAGCGCCCCAGTGAATGATGGGAAATACCATGTGGTTCGCTTCACAAGGAATGGTGGGAATGCAACGTTGCAGGTGGACAACTGGCCAGTCAATGAGCACTACCCTACAGGTACAGTAGTTTCACGCATCACATGAGCAACCAGAGAAAACCATTTCAAATACAGTACTACTAAACTAAAGTTAAACCGGAACAGCATATGCTTTTTATTAATTGACACGGACAGCATTTTGCTTCACTTTCTATAATTGCCTTAATTTGTTTTGTGAAGCAAAGAACCTATTTTTTTCTTAGCCCAATTAGATGATAGCAGATGGCCTCTGTGTACCTCTCAACACTCCTTAGGCAGCTTCTTGTACAGAGAGAAACCGTCAAAAAAGACAAATGGAACCGGTGTGTTTTGACATCAAGTTAAAAAGGTTGTACTGCAAGGTATTAAAAACACAATATACTGTACCCTATGTGTGTTGGAGCAAATGACTTTTTATTCACTTTTAATGACTTTCAATATATATATTTTTATTTGTTTAGGACCATTGTCATTCAATTCAGGTTGCCAAATCTAGCTTTAGCAAAATGACCTAATAAATATCTGTATTAATATTATGATTTGTGTATGCTTTCCAAAACAATGGTGCTGTGTAAAGTAGGCAGACAATGGAGGTTTTGCTGATATCTGGTTAGTGAGCAGAGCTTTGTTACACATAGGTGTGTGCTGTTCTGGGGGGGGTTCTTCAGACAGTTGTACTCCATGCTTTTCTTGGTTGGGTTCTGTATATTGTTTCAGTTTTAGAAGAATAGGTTGTGATGTCACTGAAACATGTGGAATGGAAGTGTGCAAGTCCTATTCCTAATTGAACTTTTTTTGCTGTTATTATTGTTGCACTGAAGCACTGCAGGTTTGCTGAGTGTAGTAGTCAACAGAGTATGGAAAAGGGGGATTTGGAAGATGCTGTACATGACACACATTAATCAGAGCTTGGTTCAGTCTTGTCCAAGCCCCTGATATTTGCTACTCTGCAATGATAAATGGGTAATGGGGATAAGCAACAATTTATTTTTCAACCCCAAGAGGGTGTTGTGAAGAGTAAACTATGTTATCGGGTTCTGAGTCACAAATAATGGCATTCCATAGCCTGCTGATGCATGCTCACTGTGTGTGACTCTAATGTGTTATCAGCGATGCATCTGAGAACCCTTCGAGACAGGTGCACACTTGTGACTCATTTGTCATCCTCCACAGTGTGGTTTCATACTCTTTTAATATAACATTATTTTAATTGTGTGTCAGGTTTCAAGCCTCTTAAAAATGCCTTTGTTAAGTAGATGAAACTATAGCTGGTGACATAGCAAATCTGAATGGTTCACCTACACGAGAAGCACTACCCGTAAGTGCTTTTCGTATAAAATATTTAAAAAACTGTGCCGGGAATTGCTTATTCTGATATTTGTAATTCCACAGTATTCATGCCTGAGCAACACCAACCATTGTTTCCCCATGAAATTCACATTTCTAGAGCCAACACAGCCAGGCTAAAATGCTGTGCATCCAATCTGTTGTAGCTAAAAGTGTCAATTTTCCCTGCATGTTTTACAAATCCTCCAAGATGTGCTACAAATCAATTCACTCATTCTCTATCCCAGTTGATACTCTGAAATGAGTGGGTGATCAGTTGGCTGTTATACATTAGGCAAAATAAATATAAGCTATGCATGGATTTCTTTCATTATCATTGATTGAAAAACACAGTTCAGAAACTCATAGTCAAGTCAGCATTACAACAGATTATTTCATCGGGTGTTTCTTTGATGTAATGTTATGAAGCTATTATTGGAAAGAGAATTGTCAAGTTACTTTGGAAAAGTCTGTAATTTGTTTTATTGAAACCTGGATAACACCAAGCCATGTAATAATTAAATACAAATGCCAACCAATAGAGCAGCCACACTAAGTAATCTTTTGACTTTTGCCCTCATTATTATAATATCAAAGTAGAACGTAATACCATTAATGCGCTTTGCAAGTTCTCTCATGGTGATAACATTTCAGAATTTAGCATTTTTAATCAATAGATCTCATCTTAAAGGCATGCATCATGCTTTGCTTTATTTTCTGTATTGCAAAACTGATTTTCATCTACAGTATGACCAGTAAGCTGCTTATTAATGGCAGGAGTCTTGCAGCCCATGCTTTTCCCCGAAAGACCAAACCAGACACCAACCAGCTGCAGGACACACTCAGGTGTACAGAGAATCTCAAAGACGGCATGCAAACCCCACACAGCAGGCACCCTGTCTAGAGCTGAACCCAAAGCCTGAGGTACAGCACCCTTTCCCACCATGCCACCCATTAGAAACTGACGGAGCACAAAACTCTGTAACCCGCAAAAGGGAGATGCCAGCACATACTTTTCCCTGTCTGTGTCTGGACTGTGAAATTATATAGGTTTCTACTTTATCGCAAGAGCAATTGCAGTATTACATTATGCCTTTCAGGGTTGTTGCTTGACTAAAAGTGTTTTTCAGATAAAGTTTACTTAACGTACATTTGCAGCTCATTTGCAGATGGTTGCCATTAGTCAGTAATTCATTCATGACTGATTTTTTCTTCTTTAACAGCCCTGTCATTTCTCCTGTAATTATAGGTTAGTGTACTAGCTAATAGACTTCAGATCAGGCTTGAAATGCTAATGTGAAAACTGCAGATTGTTCCTAGTTCCTTCAATAAATGTGTATGAGATTTAAAATCCTTATATTCCAGTGCGGAGGACTGAAGCACTATGAAATGTACACAGTAAAGTCAGAGTGCTTTGTAGAACATCAATTCACAAGTAGACTTTTTATTTTTACTGTGTAAATACTCTTCAGTCTCTACAGTTAGCATTAGCACTGCTCTTCTTTTGTTTGTTTTATTAATGCTACTTTCTCTTACTTCTAAATGGGTCTGTCATCAACCTTAACAGTGCTGGATTATTAAGTTCTTATTTTTTGCTTAATTTCATTCTTTACTTCTGAACAAAGAAAAGAGTGAGATAACTCTCCACACAAAATGAAGACACACATAGTCCTGACCTGTCCCTGCAGTGTCACACAAGCAAGTCACTAGTTGGCTCAGAGGCAAAGGTCACCTGAACTCACCCAGCTTCTAGATGGCTGCTATCTTGTCTTAGCCTTGTCACTTGTGCAGAAGAATGTATACAGTATCTACCTCTTTGCTCACCCATGTCACAGTATATCCAACCTCAGTACCTCTGGTATATGTTGTACCGTAGCATTCTGCTCCTGGTGATGAACTTCCAGGAGTGCTCCTCCACCTTTCCCCTTGTCCCACTTTATGCATGCTTACAGCCTTAAGGAAGACAGTAGAGGATACAGCTATACAGTATACCTTATACTGTATGTATGTGTTATACATGCATTATATCAGAATAGTATTACTTACTTAGTTCTTCCAGTTCATATTCATTTAAATTTTTTTAAAAATATAAAAATAAAATGAATGGGCACTCCTTTGCTTTATCAGAAATATTCTTTAAATGATTGCCATACTTCAAATCATTAGGCCTTTTAATGCTGTGGTCATCAAAGCTGTTCTCTTCTGTTTGATAGTTAATATGCAGGTGGTGCGATCAATATGCTCAAAACAGCAGAGGCATTACTGTATGAACAGACTAAGCAAACAAAGTCTCATGTTGTCCAAGCTTGTTTTCATAAATAGGGCCATCACCACTTGGACTGTCAGGCCTAATGCAGTACGCACAGCTTGGCATAAGGTAAAGCACCAAAGGCCTCCTTTTCTGCTCAGGCAGTGAATTAAACTGAACCACACTCAAGCACAGATGAATTGTTTGTATGTTTAACAATTACAGATCACAGTGTCAATTAGAATGTTGCCAAGTGTCCTTTCCTGTTTGTAAAGAGGCAAAGGCTTCCTCTTCTTGGGTTTACAGGACTAGGCAGAAGCCTGTTGTACATGAATCACTGAAATGTTAGCTCATTTCTCACTTTCTATAAATTTCTGAGCTATCATCAGAATGCCTTGCATGTCTCAATGCAGTAGCAGGCTTAAATTGTATACTTTTATGAGAAACATGCCGTGTTGCAAATTCAACTGCAGGTTCACCAATTCCTTGTGTTTTATTCTACCTACTGTATGTAAAGCTATCAGGATTAAAGTATTAGATTAATGATAAACTGGAAGTCCAGAGCAAAATGAGGAGTATTTTCGGAGTACATGGTATAAATTCTGAGGATTTAACGTACTGCATTATAAAGCCTAGAATTACAATTATTGTAGATAATACAATACAAGCAAAACTTGCCAAAATACCTAAGGTAAAATGATAGAATATAAGAAAGAGTTAGAATATAAAAAAGAGTCACGCCCTTATTTCCAGGCATTGTGACAAACTGGGCTGAGCTGCAGTCTTTCAACATTCCTGTCTCCTTGTCTCTCCTCCTGTCCTTACCTGACAAAGACAGGAGAGTTCAAAGATTCTGCAGCAGTCCAGTCGGATCCTGTGTCTGTGGCAGAGGAGAGGCAGGCTGGGGCAGCAGGAGAAGAGGATGTGTGCACCAAAAAGGGCCAGGATTGTGCAAGAACAGAGAACAGGAGACAGGCTGAGGGAGAGGGAGACAGAAAGAGATGAGGACAGCCAGAAACCAAAATAAATAGAATGTGACACACCTCACTGATTTTTATTGTTTTTCAAAGAATTTTTGCTCTAAGAACTGAAGATCTTTTTAACATTTTTTTAGTGTGGTCGCAAGGAAGCAACATTGTAAAATAAAACCTAAATTCACTTTCTGAGAATGAAATACTCAGTCCTTTTTTTCTGCACACATTCTCAGGTTTTTTTAACTTGATGTACGGGCTACTCCCCTTCCTTTAACCTTGTTTTTTTTGGCTCCAGAGCTCAGTGGTGGCTTCATTCCTGATCTCATAGATTTGGTCCCTTGTGATTGAATTTGGAGGGACACAGTTTGAAAGCACTGTCACCCTTCGTCATGCGACAGGACTGTCACTGATGGAATCGGACTAGATTTCCATCATGAATTATATCTGCAGAGCAGGCTGTGGCCAGCCTCCTTTGAGTGATATACGCAATGTG